GGAATTCATCATTTTCACTATTGGATGTCAAAACTTATATAAAGTAATGCTTTTATAACTTACACTTAGTACTGCATATGTGTTTTTGAAATGTGTATGATTCAACCGAGACTAAACAGTTCACACTATTATGAAATTGAATAGATTCATTATTAAAACATTGCTAAAAATAAATCTGACATATATTTATTGTAAAATCAAACTCATTCGCTGAATGTAAACAAACCGCGCGATTGCATAAATGCTTATCTATAAATAATTTTAAAAAACCAGAGGTTTTCAGGATTTTTTAGAAATATCTGGATTTCTGGATATATCCGGAAGACTTTCATTATTATAAACATTATTCTGTTAATTAATACTTTCTTTATATGTATACATATGTCTGTATTTCTAATCAGAAATTTGTATAAATAACATTTCAAACATCCCTTTAATCTGCCATAATTATAAATCACTGCTTAGGAGGACTTTTGTTCAACACCTTGCTGACAAATACCTCCTAGGGAGTGATTATGACAGAGAAAAGTTTTTAAATGCTATTTTTTCACACTTTTGAATACAAATCCATAAAGATGAATTTATTGAAAAAACACTTACAATCTAGAAAGAGTTTATCACTTGTGTTATGCCTAAAAAGTACTTTGATAAGTTTGTCTCATAAATACTTTTCTGCCATGGGCTATGTTACCTGATGAGTTCTGTTAGTGACCAAAGCTATTTTGAGCAGATATTTGCAACACAGGAAAGACTTATCTGATATGATATTTTTACACACATCTGAATACAAACTAAATCTGTAAAAGACTACAAAAAATATCTGTAATCAAGTGTAATTTTATCACTTGTTCGGCATATAAAGCTGCAATATTTCATTATTTTGGTGTTTAGGATAGTAGGATTTTAGTTAAAGCTCTAAAACATTAAAGATAGGTTAAACTAAACTTACAAAGAGGTGAGAGAACTCAGAAATTGTAAGTAAACAAACAGATAAGCTCATTATGCTAATGAAGCTCTGAAATCATTACAGCACCATCTAACAGTAGACAGCCACGTCCGAGAAAAAGAGCAGGCCAACCCACGAGATATTAGCATTTAGGCCATTTGCACACGTGATCCATGAAAGAGACACTGGAACGCTACAAAGATCACAGCAACTAACTGATGGAACTGCTGGTCACAAGGACAGGTAATGCAACATCCGTTGCTGTATCTAGGTGATCCAGCTCAATGATGTCTCAAGCACTCATTGGAGGAGCAGTTGGCTGACTGGGACTCAGCTGTGACCAAGTTGCACCAGTAGATTGATCAGGTAGAAAGCTGAGCTGTCCATCATGCCAAATTTAAGGTTCACAGATGGGTCCCCACAGAAAACATGGGTGCCTTCATAAATGATCTGGGCCACTTGCATGGGAATGCATACCTGTAATAGCAGCTGTAGATCATGGTCAACAAGTTTATCAATGGACTTCCAAGTGAGGCAATGAGGCATCACTTTGACATGCAACATCTGTATCCTAACAGACATAGAGCCAGAAGCAATAAGGTTTGATGTGGCCACCCTGGACCAATCATTGCTGGAAAAGAAGAAGCCATTGGCAGCAACTGCTGTCATGACAACTTTGAACATGAACCATTCAGCCCACAGTGGTGCTCAATGCTGAGATTGTTCTTTCCAGGTGGGCAGTGTTTGGTAAGTACTTATACATGGTAGGGCTATGGAGTTTCTAGTGGACACAAAAGGTTCAAGAAACCTAATAAACACCTTTGTGTATCAGATATTCTGAGTGAAGTTACATCTTTGGCCAATGGACACACACTTTGTTATGATGAACAATGGCACACTGGACATGGAAGGAGAAGTACGTTTCCAACTGCTTTCAGGTTTTGTGAGTCATAAGATGATGATTGTGGTTGCATACCAAAGATCAGGGATGTACTGCATTCACCTTGAGACAAGTGGTTTGAGAAATGGGGAGGAGCTTAACTTGGTTTGGTCATTTAGAACTTTTTCTGGATTTGTTTTTAGACTTCTATTTATTACTGAAATTTACAGGCTATCTAGCTTTTGACCTTTTTTTACAAATATGGCAAGTAGGCAGCTCTGGCCCAGTTTGTAATACACCTGGCTGGAGATTGTCCCCATGTTGCTTTGTAACTAAAGCCCATCAGCACTCCAGCTTCCAGCTGGAATCATCATCGGTACAATAAGCATAGCAGAAGTGGCTGACACAAGCAGTCATGCTAGGTTCACTTCTCTTACACCATGTCTGAAAACTCAAGCTTAGCTTCCAGCCCACCTGAAATTAATAGTTGTGGATTGCACCAGAAATCTGAATTCAACATATAAACAGTCTCAGTGACCTGTTGGCTAAGTATGCCAATGTATTTGTTGAACCTAATGGCTGATTGAATAGAATAGCCATCAATCATCACCACACAGACACAGGCCATGTGAGTCCTATCAAATAATTAGCCCACTTGCTTCTCTGGAGCACTATGAAAACAGCCATTGGTGAGATAACTTGGATGTTAAAGAATGGGATCATTCATCCCTTCAAAAGTGCTTGGTTGTTTCCAGTAGTTATTGTGAGAAAGAAGGATGGTAGTTACAGGTTTTTTTTTTTTACTTCCATTGGGTGAACACCATTACACATACTGATGCCTTTTTGTTGCAGCAGACAGATAAATGTCTGAATGCACTGGAAGGTACCCTATGGTTCAGCACTTCAGTCCTGACCTTCAGATACTGGCAAGTTGAACTGAACTACAAGGACAGAGCCAAAATTTATTTCAGCACTCAAGATGTATTATTTAAGTTCCAAGCCATGCCTTTTGGACTGTGTGATGCTCTGGCTACTTTTGAAAGGTTAATGGTTGGCATTTAAAGGTCTGCAATGGAAAGATTCCATGTATATGTGGATGATGTCTTAGTGTTTGGCCAAACATTCATATCTGCAGTAATGAATTTGTCTATGATTTTACAGCAGATACAACCAGCAGAATTAAAACTATAGGCCAGGAAGGGTAAGCTTATGCATATGTCAGTAGAATTCCTCAGTTATATGGTAGGTAGAGAAAGCACCTCAGCAGACACTGCAAAGACCCCAGTGGTCTGTTTGTTTGTTCTGAATTTCACGCAGAGCTACATGAGGGCTATCTGCGCTAGCCATCCCTAATTTAGCAGTGTAAGACCAGAGGGAAGGCAGCTAGTCATCACCACCCACAGCCTACTCTTTGACTACTCTTTTACCATCACATTATAAAGCCCCCACAACTGAGAGGGTGAGCATGTTTGGTGGGATGGAGATTTGAACCCGCGACCCGCAAATTGCGAGTCGAGCGCCCTAACCACTTGGCCATGCCGGGTCCTCCAAGTGGTCTAAGACTGGCTCCAACCTATTATGAGATGAAATTTGAAGCTTCCTTAGGTTTGTGTCATAATATCAATATTAAGTGGCCAATTTTTCCAAAATAGCATCAACCATGTCTGCCTTTACTTCAAAGCTCACTTCAGGTAGTCTGAAGAGTGTGAGTATACACATCTCACCCTGAAACAAGCCTTAATAGAGGCACCCATCCTGACATACCCCAAAACAGTATTTTAAGTTTCTGTTGGATACAGATGCCAGAGTAATGGAGTTGGAGCTGTGCTATTGCAAGTGCAAAATGAGGTGAAAAAAAGCAATTAATACATGAGGTAGAGGCAACAATGTATATGTGAAACTACAAGTCTATAACTCTGAGCATTCTTAATGTATCTTCACAAAAATTTGTAAGAATTTTTAAATCAAGTATTTCTACTAAATATTTGTTTCTGAATTTTAGTTAGCTTCACTCAGACTCTGACTAGCCAGAGTGCAAGAGGATTTTCATATTAAGATTAAAAATAATTTTTCCTCTTAGTTTTCAAATTTCATTTGGCATAATCTGCAAAATTTCCTAAATGAATATCAAAAGTTTTTTTAAGTATATGTATATATTTTATCTTTCATTTTCTTTATCATAGCATTAAATGTAGTTATAGTCAGTAACATATAGTGAATTGAAAGTTTAAAACTTGAAAAATAAAAATATGTATGTACCTTTTAATTAATTCTCATTGTTTTAATTGAGGATTATTGTATCATAATATCTATCAGTGTGTGGAACATTCTAGACACCTCTGTCGGGGTATAAATACTTGTCAAAAATTTTGTATGATAGATAGATTTAGATTCAGTGATTGTGAGTTTAGCCATAAAGAGCATATAGTTGTGGTTTTTAAAGTGAAATAATTACAGATTGTATTGCAATAACAGAGTAGCGAAGAATAATTTGTCTTGTCAAACTGTGTTGTAAAGTAATTGAACCAGTTTATATGGAACTTGATTAAAAAAAAGACAAATATTTAAAGCTCTGGATACAACTATTATAACCAACAGTGTAACAAACATTTGTA